CAATGGATCGTCGAGGGAAACTCCATCCCTTTGTCGTAGTATGTTGTCTGCGTGGGGCATTCATACAATGGATCGTCGAGGGAAACTCCATCCCTTTGTCGTAGTATGTTGTCTGCGTGGGGCATTCATACAATGGATCGTCGAGGGAAACTCCATCCCTTTGTCGTAGTATGTTGTTTTGTAAGAGACAGCAGTACAGTCTGGTTGTTTCCTTCCAGAACTACCTTGACCTACTATGCACATCTGAATCAAGGGTCTCCACTCTGGTGGGACCAACGTGGGGGTTACTTTGATGTCATGCGCGGAAGTTGAACTTATTTTAGGAAGGTATACCTTACCAACGCAACAAGCTTTGATAATCCTGTAAGAAAGAAAAATCTGGATCAACATTAATGGGGCAAAGGAAAATCTTCCATGGTGGAATTAGGCGCTTGTAAAATGATGAAATCGAAGAAACCGACAATTTCCCATCCCGTTCGACAATTTTTAAAGATATAATTTATTTTGTGCTCATAACCTGTTATGCCCATTTAAAACATTCTTGTATGGATTTTATGGGGGCAAATATGTTGATCAAAGACACACACAAATATGTAAATTTGCAGTTCCCAAGGACACTCAAGCTGTGGAATTCACCAAACCATTTTCCCGCTCATTTTACTCCCAACACAAGGCAACCACCACCTCCTTCAATCACAACTACCTCGACTTCTTTTCAAGATAAATGAATATTTTTTTCATCAAAAGCAAGGCAGAAGAACAGTCTTTGAGATTATATCAAGGACTTCATAAACCCCAAAATTAACGAGTGCCTGATTCCATTGTGTTGTGACACATTTATTAGCTAGAATTCCGAAAGTACACTCTACTTACCGTCTTGCATGATTTAGGCGCTACTTGAAGATTTACGTTGCTTGTGTGAGATCTGTCTAACATAACGGCATATGAAGTTTTCTGCAAGTGCGAGTGCCTATTCACCAACCTGCTCAAACGGTAATTCCGGATCTTTGTCGTCACCTGGAAATAGCGCGTCTGTAGGCAGATATGAACCACGTCTAGTCTCTAAACTAATATAAATTTGAATTCTCGAAAATATGTGAACGGCTATAATTTTATCTATGTAGACTAATGCGAACTGATATAAACTATGATTTGCATCCACAACACGTCGGAGCAGTATTTTACGTTATAGATGCAAAATTATGACCCATAACTCTGCGGCTGCCCATTACGAAAGTTGTTACCGTCAGGGGCCCTGACACCTTTAAGAAACGGCGTCTCTTGGTGAAATTTACAGGCAATTCTCAGCTTGGCTCTTCATCCATTTCTGCCTTACAAGTTGGATAACGTCATGTCTATAATTTCTCACTGACGTGTTTGATTATTTCAGGGCTTGTTTCACAATAGAGAACAGGTATGGTACATCCTGGTCCATCACAAGATGCAATGTAGGCTATAGCATTATGAGTTAGATACATCTAGCGGTTTCAAGCGTCGTTTTTATACTGTTTTTCAAAAGTCAGAGCAACGAACACTTCATTTGAAGACACAGTCACACTTTTTGCCCAAAAGCCGTTTTGGTTTGGTTGGCAGCTCTATTAAAGTCATCTTTGAACAATGGAATTTATCAATGCTGGGTTTTTTTTTCGTTGTCAAGTAAAAGTATTCACAGTGAAGGGAATCAAATTCATGTACCTGCTGTCAGTGGGAGCTTGTAGAACAGAAAAAGGAGCATCAGGTCAGGCAGCCAGGAAAAGGAGAACATGTGTCAATTTCAAACAGTAACTCTTTCCCCTCCTTGTGCAGGGGCGAAGGCTGACTTGTTTAACAGGGTAATCAAAGTGAAATGGAACCAGATAGGGCCTGGAGATATCACACTCACACAAGTCACAAGAATCTTACTGGCACTGGAGGCGGCAACTCTGAGTTGTGAATGAAAACAAATCCTGAATTCATGTTGTATGCTTGTTCAACCGCTAAAATAATCGGGAAAGTATTTCATTAAATATTTATTCTAACTAACCTTAAATTTAACTTTAGATTTGAACACACGAACACCAAGGAAAGAAGCAGAGATGTCAGCACTACAATGGCATGTTATACCAGACAGCCGAAATACTTGGGTAGAGCATGCCAATTATTAATTTTTTATTTCACATCTGGCAGTTTTTTGTCTAGCTTTTGGCGGCCAGGAGCCGGTGTCATAATCGAGGTCACGATCTAATTATAGGACGTTAAAAAGTCGAGAGAAAAAAAACAAGCACTAGCGGTGTAGTAGCAGGAGTCAAAGGATTATTAGGAGTTAGTTCCCCTCACATCTGTGAGGTAGACTCGACCAGTGTAATAGTTCGCTTACCTAATCAGCGCGTCTGGGTGCTTATAACTGTGGCCCGAAAGGGGTGAACAGGGTATATGCGACAATGAAACAATTCTGACTGCTATGCACAAGTTCCCTTTAACTCTATTGGTTGACTCTTCCAGCCTCACTTTAAGCTTACTTAATCAAAGCTTGTGACTGCTTATGGAGTGGCCCGATAGGGGCGAACAGGCTATTTCTGTGGCAATGAAACGGTTTTGAAGGTTAGGCATAGTCTATTGTTCATTGGTGATTATGAACGTCTTTTTACATTTAATTTATGAGGTTTACGTCTATGGGTGAATTTGACTGCGACAATGTTTCAAAATTAGGAAGGGAAGCAGTGATTATTTGATTATATAGACGCTTCTCCTCTGTCCTTGTGGTTATAGAAAGGGAAACTGGCTCAAATTTGGAACCTCACCAACGTTGCCACAGTGATGATAGCTACACCGTTGGTTCTCAAGTCAATGTGTCAAAGCAGATATCACACATTTCCACAGATCAAGTCGTTCAAAGAAAAAGCCAATTTCATATTAGCAATCTTTGCTTGACATAGCATCCCATACTGTCTGGTTTGGCCCTGGCAGGCAGGGTCAAATCGATTGACCCCTCCTAAATGCACTGTATTACATCGTATTGAACTCACTTAAATATACTTGGCCACATGTACATGTAACCCATGCGAAATCATTAACATTATCAGGGCATAAAAACATAACTAAAAATGACAATAATAAAAAAAAATTAACGTCTTTGTCAACAACAAAAACAACAACAGCAGCAACGACGACAACAACAACAACAGCAACAAAATCAATAAAACAACAACAACAACAACAACAACAACAACAACAGCAACAACAATACCAACAACAAGAAACAACGAATAAATCACTCTAATGATTACTTTCAAAGTTTACTGACTAAATATATTAATTATGCTAACAACCACGTTTTTAACCGACAATCAATGTAGATTCACAGGCGCAGCTCTCTATTCCTTGCTGGTCATTGCCTCTGGCGATCTTGAAGTAGCCGTGGTCACCCCAATCGGCGCCCCAGCTGTTCTTCACGTTCCAGAACTTCTTCCCATCACTGTCTTCACCCCAGCCCACGATCACCACGGCGTGGTCAGTCACCACAAACGGGTTGAAGTTAATGCCTGTGCCTCTGTGGAAGCAAACGTTGAATAAACATGAATTCCAACTAAAATGCTACCTGCAAAGGGGATTAAAACTTTTGATTTAAGGAAACACATCTCTGAAACAAGACAACAGAAATTGAAATCCGAAGTTTATTCTTTTAGGTCATTTAGCAGGTGGGCTGCTCTAATGCTGCATGCCACAGTTAATCTGGGAGGAGTCGGACACAGAAGGAGATACTAGGTGAAGTAAAGTCCCTACGCAGGAATTGAACTCATATATTGTGCGTGCCCAACTAATAACACAACAGACCAGTGGGAATGAATTTTAGTATGCCAGTGTGCATAAAACTAGCCAACCGAAGCCTGGTTAAGTAAACCAAATTCACACACGTACCCTGCTCGTGTTATAAAAGAACTAGACCCTGAAAGAGGGCCTTGCAAAATAGCAAGCATCTTGGGCTGTGTTTTAGATCCTCATTGCACCCGTACCAATTGGGCTAGCTACAAAGCTATGATCTTTATTTAGTTCTTTATTACTTATCTACAAAAGCAAAGCTGTTAATACTCACTGATAAATGCCCTCTGAGTAAAAGAAGAAGTCGCTCTGAACCTCGAAGCCCACAGCAACAGGTCCTCTGTCGTAGATTGCACGCCTCATCGCAGGCTCGCTACAGCTGCAAGGGAAGATATTAGGCCTTATGTATAGTTTCAATATTGTCAGTAGGAGATTTTGATCAAACGGAAACCCTGTCCTCTATTAAAAGAACACTCAAAGAACAACAATTAAACGGTAAATACAAAACGAAACAACAGTTCTCTTTTTTAAACAATGTTTTATGTCTATGACAGTTTGAAGTTCATAAGAGCTCACCGTCAGCTCAGTTGAAGTCATGCTGGGCTGAGGTGCCTATGGATCTGATTCGAATTCTCAAGGGAACGTTATTGAACTTGACTAATTTGGTAAGCTTTCAATGCCCTTCCTCCCAATGGTTAGGTCTTATCGAAGAATTTGAACCCCCCCCCCCCCTTTAAATATGCTTACCGTGTTGAAAGGGGGTGTTTAAACTACAACAATAACTTCTCAAAGACGCGGGAGATCCTGAGGGCGGATATGGGGCATATTTGGGTCAAATACAGAAAACTCAAAGTTGTATTATACTTCTTTGATTACCTTACTATATTTATTTGTATCCGTAAAAATTGCTTTTACAATGTTCATAAAGCCACATTTACCTGTGGTTTTTTTGGTGCAGTGTAAGTGTAAGTATTCTTTAACTATAAAAACCATTTATCAAAAAGCATTATTAATATTTTGGTTGAGTGACCTGTGTAAAAGTAGTTGTTCTCAAAGAGTACTAAAGCTAAAGCTTTACATTTTCAGTGAATGAAAAATACGATGTGATTGTAAGCAATACTATGCTATTTATTTTTCTCAAAACATTAAATTTTGACCTTAACGTATCTTGTGGGTGAAAAAAATAGATGTTTACAGCTCAGGGAACACGTACTTGCCGTAAAACCCCCCGATATAGCTATAATCCTTGGCGCGGACTCTTTCACACGAAGGGTCGGTGGTACATGTGGGAACATCTCGACCTTTGTAGGGGTTGCATTTTTCTTCCACGATCCCAAAATCTTGTGCGTATTTGCCAGCAACCAGATATGAAAATCCGCCACCACAACCTGCAATGATGATAAATTGTGTTTCGATGAGTGGAAATACACATAAGGGGTATGAGGTGTGAGTTTGCCGTGGGCTCCCATGGAGAGTGGGAACAAGGGAAAGCCCGGGTCGCTTGCATAATTTATTGGGTTGCTGCCCGATGCTGCCTAAACAACAGAAAGGAAGGGTAATTTTTTTTTTTTTTTTTTTTGGGGGGGGGGGGGGGTTCGGCCATATCTGAATCCAAACTGGCCAAACCAGAAGATGCCTGCTTTTCTGGTTCTCAACGGGCTTTAAGAGATCGAAATGGAAAGTCGATCATGTAACAAATCAAGGCCTTATTCTGGGAGTGCAACGCTCAGCTCGGTCTCACAGCGATACGAGTAGGATAATATAGTATATTTTGTACTAGTATGACCTGAAATGTTTCAGCCTCATTACGAAGCGAAGCAGAGGCACATATTAGATCTATTCATTGACTGCGTGCACCAGGCAGCACATGTTTCTGACCTAGCATATCCACGACCCCAAGGCCTAACCACATGCACTTGCAGAAGTGTACACTGATTTCTATGAACAGAGAAAAAGAAGACACATTAACGTATGTGAAGGAACGCGAAAACAGTGCTAAAGATTTCATAGAGCCCACTTATAAATTTGACTGAATTTGTACTAGTTACTGCCTATATGAATGTCTTTACACACACATAAATAGGGTGTTATAATTGTACTGCATGGCAGTCTTTGAACGTTCTCTTTGTTCATTTCATCTCACTTGTTACTAGCATTTTTTTTGGGTCTTCGTGGTTCTAAAATCATGTTCATACTCTCTGAGTCCTAGAGGGGGATACATTCGTAAGAAAGAACAAATAAAGGGCAATCTTAACCTTGATCTAAATTCTAAA